CAAGCATCATATTGTTTCTCACTAGGACAACAACTGTGGATTTGAACGTATTAGAGAAATTCTGCATTTTTATTTTGTCAGTGTAAAAAAAAGTGAAGAAAAGATGATGACTAACTTGTCTTTAATATTTTGCTGCATGAGTAGAGAAAATAACTGCTTTTAACAAGCTAAGCATTAAGAAAACCAGTGTCTTCAGATGCTGAGCCTGTGTCGCTATAGAATTTTAGGCGAATAACACAGGCCCCTCTGATTCTTCCTATATCTAGGCAATGGAAGCTTCTTGTTAAATGCCCTTTATCTAGTTTATAGTTCTTAGATTTCTCCATCCATAGATTGATTAGTTAACAACCACCCCTCACACACAAATAGCATGACAGAGTAAATAATGTACATACACATATATGCAGAAAGAATCCAGTAGTTTTAAGTCCTGGCGTAAAGCACACCCACACGTATATTACACGTCTCATGACATTTCCAGAAGTGAATTTGACCTACTTTGCTCACATTCAGTAGTCCAAAATTGGAACTTTTAAAATCATATTTGTATAATGAACATATAAGCCACGGTCAAGAACTCATGGTGAGAGTTTGGTAGTATCCTGGTAATTGAAAAATAAACAGTTGAAACTATGCACTTGTTTGTATTAATTTGACAATTATTTCTCTGTTGCATTAGAGTCATCAATCAGAACCTTGAACCTATTGAAACCTGTCCAGAAATTGCACACTGTCAATTGAAAGTGTAAACAAAATTAAGCCTTTACTGGCATGAATGACATCAAATAGCTGCCAGAAGAACCTTGATTCAACCTGCAGTGACATAATTATCAGTCATCTCCCAACTCTGACTTTTAAATGGAAGAGTGAGAAAAGCAAAACCGATACATGATTGCTCTTGGCTCAACAGTTGAATGCAAAAACCTTATCAGATTATTTTAAGTGAAACTATTAAGCTATGTTAGATCTGCTTGTTTCATAGCCTTATTGTGTCTTATTGCCAATATTTGATCAGTGAGCACGATGAGCATATAAAAAAAACCTCTAAACTTCATACTTGAGTTTTGCCATCTTTTGACTAACCAGTTGTCAATTATATCGTGAGCTTTTTTAAGTTTATAAATCTAAATCTTTGTACCCTATAGGATTATGTCAGGAATTAAACACAAGTCGTACGTACACTGCCAGTGTCAAACTGAAAGTCATTTCAAGGACAGAAGAAATGAGCAATAGAGCAACACTGAGAGAGTTTAATGTTGGAGAGTTGTCTATTCATAAATGGAGAAGAAAGAGGAACTTGAGAAAATTTATTCTTGAAAACCTGCTTGTCCTGGTCTCAGCGTGAATTGGCCTCACTTGGAGAGCAGCTTTAGAGAGATTATTTCTTGAAAGGAACAAAATCAAGCTGTGTCTCTGCTCACAATTCAGATCAAATGGGAACTTCTGGTAAATGGGAGAGGAATCCCAGAGTTCTTAGGTGGGGGGGGCTTTACCTGGGTCTCTAAATTCATGAAAAGAAGGCCTTTCCTTGAGAATGAAAACCACTGTAGGCCAGCAACTTGCAGATGACTTGGAAAAAACAACAGTAAACTAACACAAATTCATCTCCAAAGAAAGCTCTGGAGTCATTGTCTCTACAGTGCACATAATGAATAGGAGCAAGACTAGAGCAGCGTCAGGGATGAAAACTAGCCATTACAACCACTGGACCTGAAAGGGCTTGCTTCACTGTAGTTGGTTGCACTGTGAGTGGGGTCAAAGTAAAGCTAATTGTGATGGCAGTGGGCATGGGGTTCTGGTAATTTTCAAGAGAGCTGCTATGTCCCATGATTAACTGCCCACCAGTGTGGCTGTTCGTTTTTATTGTAATAAGGGATGAATAACTTAGGAAAGTGTGACTAAGGAAATGTTAAAGGACTAGGCTTATAGGGATTCTGCATAACTGGTGACTTTACCTGTAAACTGCATCTGTTAGATATACCAGTCAACCACTCATTGAAGTTTTCCATGAGTAAAGGGTGGAATGAATGAATGAATGCAATCTAGCATTCATTAGTTCATATCAGAACAACAAAGTGGGCAATGTTTCCAGAAATTCTATGAATGGTTTCTGCTTGTGGGGGAAGTAACAAATCATACATGTTGCCTTTGAAAGTGGAATTGTGTGTCAATAGATAGCAGTGACAAAGATGAAGACACTTAAAATAATCAGTTCAGAGACAAATGAGCATCTGGCAGCAAAATATATATTTTTTAATCATTCTATTGGAGGTCATACAACTCATCACAATCCATACATACATTAATTGTGTAAAGCACATTTGTACATTGGTTGCCTTCAACATTCTCAAAACATTTGCTCTTCTCTTAAGCCCTTGGCATCAGCTCATCTTCCCCTTTCCTCCTTGTTACCCCCGCCTCATGAACCCTTAATAATTTATAAATTATTATTTTGTCATATCTTACACTGTCCGACATCTCCCTTCATCCACTTTTCTGCTGTCCATCCCCCAGGGAGGAGGTTATATGTAGATCCTTTCCACTCCACCCTCCTGGTATCACCACTCTCAACACTGGTCCTGAAGATACCATCTGTCCTGGATTCCCTGTTTCCAGTTCCTGTCTGTACCAGTGTACTTCCTCTGGTCTAGCCAGATTTGTAAGGTTGAATGGGATCATGATAGTGGGGTGGGGAGGAAGCATTTAGGAACTAGAGGGAAGTTGTATGTTTCATTGTTGCTACACTGCACCCTGACTGTCTTGTCACCTCCTCCCCGAAACCCTTCTGTAAGGGGACGTCCACTTGCCTACAGATGGGTCTTGGGTCCCCAATCTACACTCTGCCTCATCACAGTGATTTGATTTTTTGTTCTTTGATGCCTGATACCTGATCCCTTCTACACCTTGTGATCACACAGACTGGGGTGCTTCTTCATGTGGACTTTTGCTGCTTCTGAGCTAGATGGCTGCTTGTTTACCTTCAAGCCTTTAAGACCCCAGACGCTCTATCTTTTGATAGCCGGGCACCATCAGCTTTCTTTACCACATTTGCTTATGCACCCATTTGTCTTCAGCGATAGTTATGGGAAGGTGAGCATCATGGTATGCCAGTTTAATAGAAAAAAGTGTTCTTGCATTGAGGGAGTACTTGAGTGGAGGCCCAAAGTACATCTGGCAGCAGAATATTTTAATGATAGTGATGAGAGCTGGGACTCATGTGTTCTCGGAATCGTGATGATAATAATAAATTAATAAAAAAAGCGAACTTTAAGATGAAAACAATTTCTTCTGGTGACTTGTTGATTTCAAAGGCTATTTATTTATTTATTTAGTTAGTTAGTTTTCAAGTAGTCCAGTGGACTAGTGGGCCACGCAAAGGAAGTATCCGTCTCCACAACCCTGAAATAAAAAGAGCTAGATGCTGCCTGCCTACCCATTCTGCAGAGGATCACTTTAGAGGGTTCTGGATAGGATGGGAGGAAAATGTGGAACAGAACTCAGATTCGTTAAAGAGGCCAGGTATACTAGTTGAATTTAAACTGGTGGGACTTCCCAAGGTTACAGCCCTTGGTCACCCTTTGGGTCTGGAACTGAACTACTGTCTCCCTGACTCGTTCACAAGTTAGAATCACCAACTACTTAAGATTTAAAAGCAAAAACATCATTTGCCTAAAGACAGATTATAGCGTGCTAGGAAAGGAGAGGGAATGGAAATGAAAAACACAAGGAATGTGGCAGTGTATTTTAGTTTCGATTTGTGTGGGGTGAGTGGTCAGAGAAATGAGAGGAGGTGGAGCTCCTGCTCATTGACTGTTCTCAATATGCTGCCTCGCATCTGGGTTTGATGGGCCCCTCATTTTATGCTGTAAGTCATAGGTAACTTACAGAAGGTAGAGTAATGGGATAGTGAATAACCATTTTGTTACACCTTTTAACAAGATTCCAGCCATAATAAAACTGAGTATACTAAAAATAAAGAAATGAGGAAGTGGGTTAAGCAATGGCATGTTGAATAGAATGGATTGCAATAGATACGTTGAAACAAAATGTGAATTGCTGAATGTAAAACTGATGATCTACCCTGTAAACCTTCATCTAAATTATAAGTTTTTACAAAATAAAATTTTAAAGTTGTTTCAGCTTAAGATTTTTGAAAGTAATATAAACATTTTTCTTGTAATTCTAGACCTAAAATAATTTAAGAATTTCTAGCTCTTGCTGTATTCATTTCAACAAAGTCTTCTGTTTCTATCAGAGCTCATTCTTTTCACCATTGGATGCACTTAGGAAAATACATACCTTAAAGGACATTTCCATGAAATCAGGTTTATCCTAGTAGCATTGTTTGTTTGGCAGAAGAAAAAAATTGAAGGCAGCAATAGTTAAAAAATGGTTGGCATTTCATGCTTATTAAAGTATCATGGGGCGAGACGTTTCCCATCCCCGAAAAAAATACATTTATATAGAACGAATGTCTTTGCATAAAGATAAGCTTAGGTGCATTTTCCACAAGTCTTTCACAGAAAAGGCTTTTGTTTGAAAGTTAAAACAGGAGTATCTGACTTTAGCACATATACTGTATATCGTATATACTCAAGTGTAAGTGGAGTTTTTCAGCACTTTTTTTCCCAGCACATTTTTAATACAGTTTTTGTGGTAAAACTAGGTGCCTCAGCTGATAATCGGGTCGGCTTATACTCGAGTATATATGGTATATCTTTTCAGGAGGTATAGGCATATAAAAGACCATCAAAATGAATGTGGTATTCTTTTTCAATTTTCTATATGGGGAGGGCTCAAAGGATCTGAAGTTTATTTTCATTACTAAAGTTGAGTAGAGAACTCATACAGACTGTTCTTGGAAGGTATAGGGCAGAAAGTTATGCCAATTACTTTGAATTTCTCTGTGCACATTTATCTGTGATTCTTTATTCAGATAGTCTTCATATGGACTACTTAAGGAATTTTATTCTGATCTCACTGCATCTTTCTTTCCATAGGATGGACAGAATGGCAGAAGATGCGCTTCGCCTGAATTTATTGAAGCGGAGCCTGGACCCAGCAGATGAGCGAGATGATGTCCTAGCAAAGCGGCTCAAAATGGAGGGGCATGAGGCCATGGAACGTCTGAAGATGTTGGCACTGCTTAAAAGAAAAGATTTGGCAAACCTTGAGGTTTCACATGAGTTAGCCACCAAACAGGATGGGAGTGGTGTCAAGGGGTATGAAGAGAAACTCAATGGGAATCTCAGGCCTCATGGAGACAACAGGACTACTGGAAGGCCAGGCAAAGAAAACATCAATGATGAGCCTGTGGATATGAGTGCTAGACGAAGGTATGACTCAGTTCAGATGCCTCCTGGGATAGGATCTTCTCATAAAGTGTCTGAAATTGGAATGGATTCTAATGAGAAGAATGTTCTCTAGCTTAAGTATAGCTTCTTGAAAGAAGACATGTTAATCTGCCTTGACCATGACTTCTCATTTCCAAATGAAACTAAAGACAAGCTGTTGCCATCAAATCCATGCAGGCAGTATAGGACAGAGTAGTAGATACTTCAAAAACTTGCCCTAGTATACAGAGAATCTTAGCTGTTCTTACGGTGTTCATTTCTGGAGAAGGGGGTCATCCAGATCTCTTGTTGGCACAATGGCTAAGCATTAGGTTGCTAACTCAGCGTTCATTGGATTCTTAGGATAGATATGGCAGTCTACTTTCATAATAGTTTATCGCCTTGGAAACCCTGTTCCGTCCTATAAGGTTACTGTGAGTTGGAATCAGTCTGACAGCAGTGCATTTGTTTTCAGTGTAGAGATCTGCTAGCCCAAGTAGAAGTAAGTTAACATACACCTTCATTCTCATCTTATAGGATCCCTGCATGGTCAGCAGCTTGAAACCACCAGCAGCTCTTCGGGAGAAAGACTGGGCTTTCTACTCCCGTAAACAGTAACTGTCTCAGAAACCCACGGGGGGGTGGGGGGGAAGGGGGGGGGTTTGCTGTGAGTCAGCACTGACTCGATGGCATTGAGCAAGTCGTGCTCATCTTACGGCCATCTTAAAAAAACAAAAATCATTAACACTTGTTTCTAATTCCTAGCAACCGCATAGGGCTTCCAAGGCTGTAATCTTTATGAAAGCAGACTGCTACTTTTTTCTCCTGGTAGGGCTGAGCTGTAGACCTTTTGGTTTTGGTTAGCAGTTATCCATGGTACCACCAGGGGTCCGTATGGCCAGTTTTGGAGGGAAAAAGCTCTTTCAGATCATTCTAGTTGTAGGATCTGTTAATTACAGCATCTCAAATTTTATTACCTCAAAAGACATGGGGCCTGGTTCTTATGTCAGCAAGGAACGATCTTTGTTTGGTAATGTAATTGTGTACATTCTTGTTACTTCAGTGCCACAAACCACCATCCTCACACACATAATATGCATACATACTTGCTTACACATACTTGAAGGCTTCTCTCTCCCCCTTCCTCTCCTCGTTCATACTATACACACAGTACAAGCACACATTCTCACAGGTCTTTTCTTACGGTGTCTGTCAAGGTCAGGTACTTGAGAATATGGAAAAACACATTAAAGATAGAGATAACCTGGATCAGACTGAGAGCAGAGCCTACGATGATAGTGACTCATAGGATAGATAACCCTAATTTTAAGAGCATTCAGCTTATTCATGCCTCAAACAGTTGGTAGACATGAGAGTTACTTTACAGTGCTTGATTTAGCCCTCCAACTGAGAACTTGCTGATTTTGTCCTAGGATTGAACCAACATAGAGCGTTTTAAGAGGTTGGACTGATGGGAAAGGAGAGAGAAAAGTACTTATAACCTTGCATGTATTTCTTTACCTTTTACTGTTTATTTACTAGTCCTGTCCTAACACTGTTGTTGGTTTTGTTTTTCTAAGCCACTTAGTGGAACAATAATATTCTTGGTTTCTAACATTAAAATCCCTTCAGACAAATTTTCTAATAGTTTTGGAAGAGAAGAATGACCTTTAGAAACTACAGGTAGTATTAGTAGTGTATCCTACAGGTGGACTAATCCCTGAGCATTTGGAAGAAATGGAAGTGGGTGAATGAGATCATGACCAACCCACTTACCCTGTAAGCAACTTTACCTTTCTTGAGCAAGTAGCTGATTCTACTTCATTGGGGGGGCGGGGCGGGGGGGGGGAGAGAGAATGAGAATGTTGGATAGATTCCTCACATCCCAAATTAGAATTCTAAATATGTTTCTCATAAATGCATTGTTAAACATTTTGGTAAGATCTCATTAATGCCATTAGAATTATCCAGTATCTCAAATACATTGTGTCATACTGCCCTGAAAACACCATTGCATGTAATTTTATTTTTCGAAGGATGAATTTTTGGGACATAATCCTTTGGACACTAGGGACTATTTTTTAACACCCTCCGGGAAAAGTTGCTTAATGAAAACCATGTAACACTCTTCTCTACTTGAAAAAATAGCCCCTATTGGCCCCTTTTGCTCTTTATCTTTCCTCTCATTACCAGATACAACTATTTCCACTTAGCCTCAAGCTCTGTTTTATAAGCTTGAGTAAGATTGATAGCTTGCTCAGCTAAAAGAACCATGGTTTCATAGCTGTGGACAAAAGGAGGAACAAATTTGAAAGCAGAAAGGAAGAGGGTTTCTTGGCAGTGATAGCCTTACCACAGTTGCTTAAAATTACTCCCTGCCCCCAGTCATATGGACAAATTATAATATCTCTGAAATAAGGTGTATATAAATCAGTATTGCTAATATTTGGAATACTAGAAAGATGTCAGTTGTCTCTCTTTATCAGTTACTTTTACTATTGACATGGATTAACTTTATAGCTCCAGGAATCTGAGTCACAAGTAACGTCAACAGAGAGTTAGGCTTTTAGTCATCTTTCTGTATTGGGTAGTATTTAATACTTAAGGATCCCAAATATTGTAAAACCCTGTGAGCACTGGAACTTATGTAATGTGGAAATCTGTCAGAGAAGGGAAACAAAAAATATTTTCCACTAAATGGTGATAGGACCATCTAGCTCAGAAGCAACCAAGCCCACATGGAACAACATATCAGC